AATTACTTTACATACATAAAACATGTCAAATAATATACATAAAACATGTCATAGTAATACTCCTTAAAATAATAACTACTTAGCAGTGGAAGTCGATCTACACGACATCGATAGATACTATCGATAGTCGATCTATACAGACTAATTAGCAAAACCTAAAAAAATAGATATTTTGGTATAAGGACAGTGGAAACATGGTATATCATTAGAAACAGACAGTTTATTTTTTGATATATAGATGAATAGATTAATCAGCACAGAGATAGCTTCTATCTCAGGAACGGAGGAAGAACCTTAAGCTTTGAGAAATAAGGTCTTAAATGGTAGGATGGACGGATAGACAACAAATTGATTTATGAATTTTACGTAGAAACATTCACATGGATTTATTCTGTATTTATATTATAGTTTACAAGCACTTGGATGAAGCTGACAGGACGTGAATGAAACGGGAACTTATTAATAAAATTGCGGGGCTCTTCCGTCCGTCGAACGAAGACCGAAACATGTAGCTCCACACGTCCGGTCTATTTTGATCATCCAGTTTAAACTGCAACACAGTATCTACTTTTAATGAATTCTTAATTTTCTGATAAATCTGAATTTTAAACAATTTAACTTTTTACCTGTTCTAATTACGTATACTAATACTAAATAATAAAATAATAATACAATTTTTAAATGTGACGCTGTTATTTATTTCATGTCACCAAAACAATGTAGTTTATTAAACCATTTCGATTCCTTGTTCAATCAATTATTAGAGCAATAAATTGACCAAATAATATATGACTATACTCATTTAACAATCCAGAAAATAACACAGAGGCGGCACAAACAAGCGCATTCGAGACTATGCCGTGATTATAATCTATCGTCTCGCATTGAGGAGCACAATAAGTAGTCGACTTCCTCTCCCACGTTTGGAGGAGCGGATGCCTCGACTCGCGACCTCCGGCTTGGCTTCTTACCAGTTACGCCCCTCACACATATTAAAACTAAAACATTTCAATAAACCGTCGTACGTCATTGTAATAACTATCTTTGATGAACACGCACTCCAAACAACTCAATGCTTAACTGTGTCTTTAAAACATTTACATATAATTCTATAAAAAATACCTTTGGTTTAAAAATTTATTAATATTAAAAAAAAAACACAGAGCTGAAAATTGGTACAAATGTTAGAGACATCATTACACATGAAACTTTTCAGAAAACAGTAAAATGTAGGTACATATAAGATAGGAATTACTGTAAGTAAGAATAATTGCGTTTTTGGAGATTTAGCGATTCAAAACGAATTATATTGAAAATGTCGAAGGGACCTTTTACATTTCCCAATAGACATTGTAAAGGTCCTCATCCATTTTCAGCTCTATACGATTTATAATGTATAGATTTATATAACCTTGAACGTTTATTTTGACCGAACTATGAGATTATTTCATCATGATCACTGTTAAAAGTTTTTGCTTCTGTTTGTTAAAAGTATTAGTTAAGTAAATCCACTTTCAAATAAGACTGGTTCTTACTGAGTTATCTATCAAGTTTTTTAATCAATGAATATTATGAAACCGTTTCTAGCCGTAGCAACCGGTATTACGTGTGTGCCACTCAGTTAGGTAATAATTTACTGAATGAATAAAGACGTGAGAATGACTATTAGGAATTTTATACGAGAACATAATTTTAATACTTTTTACCCGACTGTAACGATAAGTAACGAAAAATGGTTGGTATCTTAATTTTTACAATTTACGATGCGCTATAATTTTGCATACTTTTGACGGAGTATCCTTATATGAAATCCTAAAATGATGTATGAACAGACTCGCTAGTTTATAGTGACCTAAAATTGTAAAACCTCAAACTAAGGATGCACTTTACGTCCTCATCCATTTTAATATTTAACCGACTTTTGTAATTTCAATGAAGCTAAACGTTTAAAAGTCGAATACAAAAAGAACTAAGTAAAAAAGGCTACCTAGGATTATATTTAATTGACGCATGTACAACAGGGTATCAATGAATCCTATTTGGATCTTGTAGTAATATTTTCTTTAATCTGTGCTTAAAAAATAATGAAAAATAAGTAATCATCAGGATTAAAAACACTAATAATACTGAAGCTACCAGTATAAGAAAAATGTATCATCATCATCAACAGCCTTTAACAGTCCACTGCTGGACATTTCCTTAGAAAGGAAGTTTTGGCCCACTATACCATGTTGGCCAGACGTGTTGGTATAGGGTTTGTGTCAAGTTTTCCCTCTCTCTGCAGTGCCGTTGTTATGCGCAGTTTTTGTATGTAAAAAAATGTATGTTTGTTATATTAAAGGCGCCTCTTTCAAAGCTCCCTTCCTATGAGCTTTCTGAGAAATTATGTAAATGGGTCACCAGTTTCCTTGCAGGCAGAAGCATTAAGGTCGTTATCGACGGTGCATGCTCCGACTTGAAGTCTGTAAATGGTGGTGTCCCGCAAATCTATGTTCTAGCACGGGAGATGCCTTTTATAAAGTCCTCCCCAATATTTCTCGGGAAATCGTCATCGAGAGTCGAAATAAAACTTGTGTCTGATTTTTGAAATCTTTGAAATTTAAAGTTAATTAACGGAGGTTTCAGATTGGAGTCGACTGAATCTAGTCTATTTTAACCCAAAAAAGACAGACACTACAAAAAGAAGGAAAACTTGACACAAACCCGCCTATACCAACCTGTCTTGCCAGCGTGGTATAGTTGGCTAAAACATCCATTCTATGAAAGTTTTAGCCTACTATACTCATAAAAGAGAGGCCTATGTCTAGCAAAGGAATATTAAAGACTATTGATGATGATGATGATGATGTGAGGAAACTCTAATCAATAAACCATAAAATTGTTAAAACAATAAAATTTCAATCATTCTTTCCTAATTTATAAAGCCACTTTATTAAGATTTAACAACAATGGCTACTGGTAATAGGTAAAGTTCGGTAAATTCGTGCTGGTGAATCCATAAGCACAGCTTTACAGCTGAAATACATTTATCTCTTGTTTCAACTGCTGCAAATGGTATGCAATATATGACTACTATGTACTACATACCTATATTTTTATTTAACTTTTGTAAATCGGCGGACTTAATGCCCATCAGTCACATTCTCTCCCAGTCAACCTATATATATATATACAAGTATATTGATATAGATACATAGACATATTATATTCATACACTATGAATACTGCAATATGAGCTACTTATACTTAACTATGGATTAAACCGTTCTGCCATTTTATTAAGAAGGAGAGCATGTACCTTCTTTTTGAATATAAAGTGGTTTGTGGACATCCTGACTTCAGTTTCCACTTTGAATCCAGAGTAGTACTGCTTGCACTAAGAACAAAGAGTTCACAAAGTTGGAGTTGTGGGAGGGACATAAGAGAAGCAGATTGTTATCTGAGCAAAGATTTGCATCAGAATATTGAATAGTATATAATATTTTTAATATAAGAATAAGAAAACTAAGTAATCACATTGATTTTACACTTGGATTCAATTCTAATATTTCAGTTTTAAGGTACCTGATAAAAAAATATAGGAAAATGGTAGGTTGATAATGTGCTGTCTTGACAAGGGAATAATTTTATTTTATCTTCCCTTTTTTTTAATATGTATGATATTCACGGTTGACTACATTAAAGCCTTAGCAGGGGGCACATGGACAAGAACTGCTAAGGATAGAGAGGATGGAAAAGGTTAGAGGAGGTTTTTGAGTGTTTTAATTAAATTTTAAGTGCACACAGACAAGGTTGTTGATGTTTAATAGTCAAGCGCATAGTTTAGCATTAGAATAAATAAGATAGTTACTGTAAATGGAATACTGTCTAAAATAAAGGCTATTATTATATATGATATTGACTTATGATGTTTATAACTCATGAAAGATGCTGCCCCACTATCCGTAATAATTAAGCTTTCATCAAAAAACATCTGTTTATATGAGATTATTGTAAAAAATGTGAAAACTGTGACAGAAAATCTTGTGACCAGGATGGTCATCACAACATGGAATAATATTGATAGACAACTTCGCCATGCTTCGCTGTGGCACATTATGGCTGCATTGCAGTTGCAAAAACAAAACTGAACAAATAGAAAAACCCTGTTTAAAAGAGGGTTGTATAATAATCGGTGCAGTACTTTTTGAGTTTTTGGAGCATACACAATCCATTTTTATATTTATAGATATAGGGTTGTGCACAAGCTTAATCTAAACATTTCTTTCAGTAAATGTGTCTGGTAATAATGATATACTCAGCCTTAGTATGTGGGACCTAAAATATAACTGTGACTGTAATAATAGACTATCTTGCCCTGAATCTTTCCTTTTCTCAATAATCTGGCCTATTATAATTGTCATATGCCAGTGACTGTGGGTTTTATTCCATTTCAGAATAAAAATTGTGATAAGCATCACCATTTGGTCTATATGGGTGTAATATTTCTAATTTTAGAAATATATAAGAATGTTTCTATGTTGTCTGGTTCTCATAGCACAGCCCTCTGCACAATTTAGGATTGTACAGCTGTGTTCACACACAGGTGAACTGAATGTGTCAAGTTAATATTACTGTTAAAAATATTATAGCAGTTTTGATGAAGCTTTATACCACCTGTGTTGTGAATGTTGACCACCTTTAGAACATGAGCTAACAGATCCAGGTATAAGAAATCATTTAGACTAAAGATGTGACATCCTAACACTAATGATGTTAGAATTCCATGACTGCTCATTTAATGTGACATCTAATTTACTTAATATATGACTGATCTCAATACAATCATTAACTTAGCTAATCAGTGACCATACAATCACCTAAAATTGATTATAACACATTCTTGTTTTCCTTTTAAACAAACTGCCTACTACTACATGTGGCCACTGGAGGTGTATTTTGAAACTCTGGTGCACTAAAAAAGTTAGTCCTAAATTAAAGTAAACATGATGATAAAGTACCTTCAAGACAGACGACCTGCACGCCATCTTGCTTAAGCCTTCTCAGCAGTATCCCGTGAACAGAATCCGGGTCCCGAGGTGCTCCATCACCGTACAAAACAAAAATCCCCCGGGTTCGACAGTGTGAAATCCTCGCCTTTAACTCTTTACACTGCACTGTCGAAACGAGCTCGATCTTGCCTGCAGCTAACCGCCGCAACATTATACTAGGTATTGAAAAATTAACTGCGGAACGGATGTGGGACTGAGAGTATTCATTAGACATCCGACAGTCTATGAGCACCGTGTCCCTCTCATCTGACCGTAGCTTCGATAACAACCACTCCTTCGACACCAAGTCACATTCGCATTCAGAGTCTGTAGGCATGTTGAAATTACAACGTCTTCTTGTTTACACGAGCCCTTTGCAACTTAAAATCGCCTGTTGCACTAAATCAAGTATTTTACAATTAAGTTCAAATACACATACATAGTTATTGACACTAAATAATACGGGAAAATATCTATTACTCTCTCTTTTAAATCAAATGATAGTCTTTTCAAATAAACACATTAGTAATAAAACCTTCACAGCGAGTTAACTACACGCCAGACGGCGAAGCAAAACGCAACAACGATCACCGAACGACTTGATCTGAAATGCGGGGGAGGGACTGTATGGAGGGGAAGGTGGGCAACGGGCGTCGGTGGCGGCGCAACACAATTAGAATATCGGTCGAATTTAATTTTCATAAAACATTCATATTACAGCATGTTGGAAATTAACATATCACTCTCTTGAAATATATGCTATTGTGCTCTAATGTAAAACAAGAATACAGGATTATATTTGGGGAATTTAACTTTATCATGAAATTAAATGAAAATGTAAATATTATTAATGTTTTTTTAATTAAAATTAATACATTCTAACAAAAGTCCGTGTGGTGACGGATTAAGAATACAAATTGTCACCCCCCCCCATTCATCCCGTGGGTGTCGTAAGAGCCGACTAAGGGAGCAAACTAAGCAGGACAACAGCACTGCAAAGAGAAGGAAAACTTGAAACAAATCCTATAGCAACCCGTCTGGCCAGCATGGTATAGTAGGCCAAAACCTCCTTTCTAAGGAGAGGCCTATGTTAAGCAGTGGACTAGTATAGGTTGTTGATGATGATGTTGATGAACAAATGTGCAATGTCATTTAAAGATAGGGAACTAAATAAGGATTAATTTATTTAGTAAATGCAATACAGTAAAATAGTTCAAGTAAACGCAATATTGCAATTTAAATTGGTTAACTGAAATTGCTACTTAAAGTGATTAAATGAAAATATTTACTAAGTACATTTTAAAATTTTAAGTCTTAAAAATGTATAACAAAACTGAAAATAAATCGATATTAATTATTAACGGTTTTGAGGAGTTTGTTTGGGTTCGATACAAACCAACAAGAACGGCCAACAATTTAAGAAGCCAAAATTACGTAGTTCAATATTTTTCTTTAGATAGATTTTCTTATAAGTAAGAAAGAAGTATATATTGTCTGTGGTCGAAACTGTCAGTAAAAAAATTGGTACTACATACACATACTTTTGGGATCTATGTTGACTTTTCTTTTACGTGCCTATTAAAAATTTTAATTTATACATTATTAAGAAATACATAAACAAAAATTTTATCGCCATGGAGGCCTTGTACGGTGACCTAGAGAATTATAACGAAGTCAACATCGTTGAAGAGGTACAGTGATTTAGCGCCAAAAATATTCTGTCACATTTGTTTTATTAAAAATAATATTTTTTTGTTATTATTCAATTTGTAGCTTCGTACTGAGAACAGAGATTTAAAATTGAAGCTTGAAGAATATGAAACAGCTATTGGGAAACTTCAGAAAGTGAGTACCATCAGTATCGTTAAATTTATATTTTGTTTACAACTTTGAATGTAATACGTAGAAGATCAATAATAATTTATGTTATATTTTTACACAATGTCATCAAAAAAAGACCCCATCTATGACTTATTATTTTAATTACTATGCAGTATCTACAAATTCTTGTTATGTTACACCTGTTATCATGTTACGTTTTGTGGTAACAACTTAGGCATTCCACCTAAGAACGACTAACACATTGATATTGTAGAGCTTATTACAGGATTATGATAAACTAGTCCTGGAGTTCAACAATCTACAAACCAATTATTCATCTCTCTTGAAAACAGCCAGAGCAGAAGTGGAGAGAAAAGCCCAGATGATCACTCAACTTAACGTTGAGTAAGTATATATTAATATATTTCTTATTGTTCTCATTTGTAGAATTAGATTTTATTCTAGATTGAACATTTTGTTAATTAAAATGTTTTGATTTCTGAATTTGTTAGTGAAAAGGTTTTATTAACTGTTAAACAGAAAAACTCAATATTAAAACAAAAATGTTATTAAGTGGTTGTGTTTTGGATTCATGTACTAATCATTGTTATTAGAACTGAATTCAATGAGAAAGGTGGATAATAGAATACATTTTAACTTTACATTCTATATTATGGTATGTATGTAATGAGACTTTATGTTTTTAAGATATCCTAAGTAAGATATATTGTTGATTAGTAATATTAACTTCTTAAAAGAGATTTACTCTGTCAGTTTTGACCGTAGATAATATAAAAAAGTTTACTTATTTGAGGTACTTAATCCTAAAAAGGGAAAAGTATATCACTCATTATTACTTAAGTGGAATTTTTTATGCTGTTATACATCACAGCATGGAAATTACACAGATATCAGGATATTTAAAATTAACTTTTCTAGTTTCAGTTGTATGGAATATAATGAAATGATAAAAAAAAACTTTTATTTATAATTTGCAAAATGCATGATAATGAATTTAAAAAAAAAACAAAAATTTGAAATTGTTCAAGAAAGTTGATAAGAATTAAAAGTTGATTTGAAAGCAAAATAAAAAGTCTTGAATTTGTAAAACAGTCTTATCAATGATCAGTCACAACATGGGACATACATTTGTGAACTGAGTACAATCTATTATCATTTAAATAAAGTTAAAGTGGATAATTTAAACCACAGCTGAATTTGTGTCTATATATGAATTTAATTACAAATAAACTTATATATAAATATATATTTCTAGTTTTCCAGACAACAGGATTATCATCAAATTAAGACAGATATAAAAAATCAAAGAAATCACATACTACATTCTCTTATTCTGTGAATTTATGTTAAAATTGTATAATTTATTTATGTATGTTTTTTGTCTTAATCAAGTATTTCAAGTACCTTAATTACTGTTTTTTTTTAGGAAAGATATGATGATATTAAAGACATTACAAAATCCAAATAATAGAAGGTTTCAGAAGAAGTTACAAAACAATACTCAATACCAAAAGAAGACAACTAGTGGTGAAACTGATAAAGCTAATGTTAGTAAAAATACAAAACCTGAAAACAATGTTATTATTGAAAGGTAACTCTTTGGTTTTTTTAAAAGTAGCCCATCTAAATAATTGCAAAAAATTAAAAGGGTTATGATACTAATTTCTCTTTTTATTTGTTAGCATTTATTTGCCTGGAAATTAACGATGAAATGGATATCTGGGTGGCTGGCAAGCATCTGGTATCTAGGTCTAGTTATTCTAGGCCCAAATTAACTATAAGATACCAGATGCTGGCCAGCCACCTGTGAATCCATGGTTTTGTGGATATTTTCTCTTAGTGGAATGAACAAGATTATTTTAATTGCCAGTTTGAAATTATTTCATACTCAACAAAAATCACAACAAAATTAGTAGATTGAAATTGCTGCTGTTTGACATGTTCTTGTCTTCTTGCACAGAATTTGTATCCTCTCTGTTGTAGGTTTGCCAACAACAATACAACAGTATTGTAGTGATCTATAATCTTAAATTTAATAGGAAAATACTTGCTTTGTTTTGTTTTGTTAATAATAGATAAATAATGTTATATGGACACTTTACCACTAAAAAATGTTACATTTAAGTTAACACTGTTCTATTGATTATTTTTAGTATAAATAAGGATGAGGTAAAAGAAAATGTGGAAGTGGAAAATCCAAAGACAAGTGCAAATAGCATTAAAATTAGAAGAAAGTCTATGCTATCTTCTAGGTAAGTTTTTTTAAATGAGCCTGGCTATGAATATATATATATTTTTCAAGAATATATATTTTTTATTTAGATGTACCTGATGTATGGATGATGTTTATGTCATGTGTAGTATATACTAACACACACTGTGTGTAAAGTAAGCTTCTTAAAAATATACAAAAGTGAAACTATGTACATGTTAAGAAAATTAACTCAAAACAGTGAATGTATTATGTTTCATGGAAGGGTTTTTTCAAGATGAAAAGTCAGTCAGTTTGAAATCGAAAAATATATAAAATGATAAAAAACTGTATGTTTCTGAAAAGAGCGTACTCCTTCCTCAAAGGCTGTCATTTTCCATCAGGTGACCCGTCTGCTCGTTTGCCCCCTCTTCCATAAAAAATGTTATAATGTTATAAATATCAATAGCACATTTAAGTTCTGATCTGGTTATGAACTTATGTATTATTATTGCAGTATGCTACATCTTACTACAAACGAAAACCAAGAATCAGATCAACCTAGAAATCAAAAACTCAAAGATACACTACCAAAAGAAATTTGTGGGACAAGCGATTTTAACGAAAGATTAACAAGAATTACTAATAAAGGAATTAGTAACAAAGAAGCGGACACCGTGAGCCTGAGTGGTAGGAGCTCAAATTACCAGGAATTGACTAGAGATAGTAACAGAAGCGCAACTAGCAAGCATTTTGACTGTGAGCCATTCAAGAGCGATAGGATTAGAATATCTGACAGAATTACTGAAAACACAACTGACAAGATTAGAGAGAACTACAAAAACAGAAAAGATGACAAACTCCTAGACATTAGACGACATAGGGAAGGCGACAAGTATAGTGATGGAAATAAATTTCAAGAGGGTGACAAATGCAGAGAGGATAATAAATTTAGAGACAGTTTAAAATATACAGACGATGATAAGTTTAGAGAGGGTGAAAAATTCAGAGAAAGCGAATCACTTAGAGAAAGTGAACAATTAAATGATCATGAAAAATATGGCGAAAGTGAGAGTAAAACTAGACAAAGCTATAAGTATAGGATGGGAGACAAGTCTAGAGAAAGTGACAGGTACAAAGAGAGTGAAAGGCATAGGGAGAGTGACAGGTACAGAGAGAGTGACAGGTACAGAGAGAGTGACAGGTACAGAGAGAGTGACAGGTACAGAGAGAGTGACAGGTACAGAGATAGTGACAGGTATAGAGAGACAGACAGGTACAGAGACAGTGACAGTTATAGAATGATTGACAAGAGTGACAAGTTCAAGGAAGATGCGAAATTTTTGCATTCCGACAAATTGAAGAATAGAGATAAATTTGACCCATCCTACAGATACAAAAGACACTATAGTCCAGACAGGCCTTACAAAAGACATTATAGAGAGTGTCAAGATGATTATAAGCAAGAATATGGACGACACAGAGTATTAGGAAGTTCTACCCCTGAATCACACAGTCTCTCTCATGCAAGAAGTTATGACAAACAATTATTTAATGAAGGCCAAAGGCACAAAAGTGAGAACTACAAACACCCCCATGAATCAACTCATGGAGAAAGACTATCATCATCTGATAACCAAGATGAGCCATGTAAGAAGCGAAAAAAAATTGAATTCGAAATACATGTCGTTGGGAATAGACAACGTCACGAAAGGGAACCATTTATAAAACCATCCTGTTCTGTGGATTATGACATGCTGGCTGCTTCTTGTCAATCTCCGGATGCGGTATTCTCACCAGATTCGTACACGGATACACAAACCGCACATACTATTAAAGGTAAAAAATAAAGATCTAATTTTTAAATACATTCATCTACTCAATAACCCAAAAAAACTTAAAGAAGGCTATAATCCATTCTCGTTAAGAAAATAATGACTCATCATTGTACCCGACCAAGCCCCGCCCCCTGATCAATCGGGTTCCAAAAAATTATACAGTCAAGTTCACGCTGACCAGACTTATGTACGAAATTCTGATCAGCTTTTGTTGTGTTTTTGAGCGTTAAGTATTAATTAATTATAATAATTAATTTAAAAAATGCATACCTTGCCTTTCGTAAGATTGAAAGTGGATGAATAATTCGTAGTAGAGAAAAAATATTTACAATGTTTCTAAGTTTTTTCAAACTGTTTAACTTCAATGTGACTGTGGAGAGTGCAGAAACAAAAACAGTAAGTGCTTGCAGCGTTCAAAAATCTGCTCATAAGTTTAGTAAGGAAAAATAACACATTAAAATCGCCTGTGAAACACAAAGTTCGACTATCAGCGGTTGATAAATTAGAAATTGAAAAATGAACCATAAAGCTTTCTTATCTTCCGTTTATATCTACAGCTGGTCAGCACATGTTATTATGCTTTTGTTTTATTTAAAGAGAACATTTATGTTCAAGTAGATAAACTCTAGAAATATAAATTTTTGTACCAATTTAATTTTGTTTGCATTTTTTCTCTACCTTCTGAATACAGCTCCTTAACACGAATGGACTATAGGCAAACTTGAATTCTAGTGTATTTTATAGATGGTTGTTTTTGATACATTGTGTTCGATCCGAAAAAAATAATGAAAATGTAAAAAAATCTTTATCGTTTCAAAACATAATAGACAATTATTTTTAGATTTATATTACTAATTATTTTGGTAGTCCTTTCTACATATTTTATTTTTATTTATCATAAAGTTTTATACTTACTTACCATCTTTTTGTAGAGATTAAGAACACAGCAACAACACCTTTAGAAGATCCACGTATAAGCAGTAAAAGATATGTCTTAAAAACTGAAAATGGAACAACCACTCTGTCTACAGCAGCAAGCAAATGTATTGATATAAAACCGGTTGATAAGTCATTGTGGAACATAAAATCTGTTGCTATGCCCGACGCTTTATTGAAAGAACCACAGTCGTACATTGCAGAAGAATGTATCAAAGAAATATATATGGATATCGATAATCCGGAATCCAATGTGTCAGTAGAAACAGGTGAAATAGTTGAAGATACAATTTCTTCATGTGGTGACCAAGATAAAGACTCTGAAAAATGTTTAGAAATCCATGATATAAATAAAATTGCTGCTGATGTGGTTTCTACTTTAAAAAGCAGGCCCGAAAATGTTCAAAAGATTACTCCCATTCTTGATGAAATACCAATTAATCAACAAGTGAAGGAAGTGTTAGATGTTGCCAAAGATTTGCCTAAAATTATTTGTGATGAAAACCTTACCAAAAAGATCGTAAAAGATAACCAATACTTAGCTACTTTACAGTCAAGTCTACCACAATTTGATGAACATGAAACCTCTGCACCTGATATTGAGAAGTCAAAAAATGGAAGTGATCGACTTAATAAAATATCGTCATCTGAAATGGCGATGGTTCAAGATGATTTAGAGTTAAGCGATGAAACAAGTGATAATTTGGATTATCACAAACATACAGTAATAGAAAAAGAGATATTGCGCCAAGAACAATCTACTTTAGCAAGTAAAAAGGATAATGATTTAAATAATGAATCAAAGTATAGTTTCAAAATAACACCTGAAGCTAATGTTGAAATTGTTAGTATCACGCCTCATGAAAACTTGAAGGAATGCGATGGGTATAAAAAACAGAAAAGTAAAAAAAGAAAAACGAAATCTAAAGAAAAAGATGTGGATGAAAAGAATGATGAAATTCACGTCACTGAAAAGAAGATAAAATCTAAAAAAGATAAAGAATTTAAGCCTAAGCAAATAAGGAATAAGTTCACAGATCTTTTCGGCGATAGTAGTAGTTTAATAACTCCCGCAGACTTAGGAATCCCTTCAGATTGTGTACCACTTTGTGAAGACGCTCAAGATGCTGTTGATATAAATATAAAAGAAGTAGTTGCACCACAGTCCTGCGCAAATAACTTAATACTTAACGAAACCATACCTAAAAACAACACCAATATAAATGATAAAGAAATCGCGAAAAGCGTTGAAGATCATGATGCGAGCTCAAGCTCGAATCTACATTCGAATGTAGATGCGAAAATTATTTACCAAAACCTAAATGCCGAAGTGGATTTAAACAAACCAGACATTGTCAAAACAGTTATTATTTCATCAGGCGTCCAACCTCAATTTATAGTAGAAAGTGAAGAAGATGCCACACAAAACCGTGGTAAAAACGTAGACTTAAATAAACAAAACAGTGTTAATTTTCATCAAGTAGCATCTGACACAGAGTTTAAAAAACAAACTGCTCTTAAAGCTTTGGCTACATCTACACCCCACAAAGAATTGCCAATTAACAATACAATGGAACCTGAATGTGTAAATATTCCTAGTGATAGTAAGAGCGGAAGTATAGATACAAATAAGCTGGTAGACAACAAGTCCAATATAAATACTCAAGATTCACTTGATGCACCTGATGTACGTATATTTGTAAGAAGACGAAAAAAAGCTGTCAAAAAACCTTAGGATAGTATAATAATAAAGGGCAGTCGCTTTATTAGTATTTAGTTATTAAAAAGTTGTATTTGGTAAAGAGATGTATAAACAAGTTGTCTTCGCCCTCTCTCAGATTTGTAAGATTCAATAGTATCTTATTATTATATTTTGAATATGTTAAATCATGCTTTTAAACTAAGCTTGTATTATATGATGCTCAGATGTGTGATCTAAGTAAAAAAGGAAAAGCAATGAACGTACGCGTACGTTTATGTAGAAACATAGTAAGTACATGTTTTAAAATATTGATGAAATTCTTACTTAGAATACCTATTCATGATATTGAGGTCTGATTCTACTAATTCTGATACAAAAAAAACAGATAAATGTAGACAAAAATGTCTGATACTTTTAAAAAGGTCAGGACATTTTCTCTTTTTTTCTCATCTCTTTTTTCTAATTGTAAGTAGACTGTGATTTATTACTGTCACAAATTGTTGGACTGAGTGACGCAATGGGGATGAATATATTTAACTAGTGAAGTAAAGTGCAAATAAACTTAAGAGCGAAATGTTGAAATATAATGAAAGTATAAGATATGTACTGATTTTTCTTTCTTTGCATACGCATTCGAAAATTGCACCGTGGTCCCGGTGGGTCAACCCACTAACGGGTCTAAGGGTAATTTTAATTACTCGTGGTTCCATGACACTAGAGACTTCCCTTGACTTCTGATTATATCTATAGAAAATGAAAACCATCACAAATAAAATAATTCCATCCTTGGAAACAAAAACGTACTCCTAAACTAACCTAACATTTCTAAGCGTATCCAACCGATATTTTGCCAGTACTTAATGTGTATCGGTTGTGAATTCATCACTTTTAGTTGCTCTTATTATGATAACAATACTAATACAGATAAAAGATTACTCTCTTTGTAATATGTGATCTCTTGACGTAATATGCCGTTATAATCGATTTGTATTTATTTTATTTAAGTAGGTTCATCGTTGTAATTAATTTTCTATCGATATAGTTGAAAGTACAGATAAAAATCCAACCAAATTCAGTATATTAGGAAATTAAGTGTCTGCCGTGGAGCTAAAATTGACAGCATGTGAAAGTCGACAGAAAAATCTGCTTCGAGTATTTTCATACCATACTAAAATTTGTACAATGACTTCAGATCATTATAAGCTCAAAATTAACAGTCAGCTGTATCAAAATGCGGGGGGAAGGGGGTGGTTTATATGTCAGATGTCAGTAGCTTATGTGAATCACATGGAAATCTTTCAGGAGCCGGTTTTTTTCTACTATCTATTAGAATATTTTTTTCATACGTCGTTTACAGCTATTTCTTAGCTACTTCGAATTGTTTTACTTTGTGGAACTGTTCTGCAATAAGCGCTTACCTAGTTCCTAACGCTTCTCAGTAGTCATCACTCTTAAATTGAGTTCTGTAATTTAATTAAAAAATAGAAAAAAAAAGCACCACTGATTTGATCCCCATTAATTGCAATTGTTTGTACATACTGTAAATATTTAATCATTTGTGATTACGCGATGCGAAATAAAGGTTTGTTGCGAGTCACATTGTTACGCTAAATAAACGATTGGCTTTATTCCCATAACAGTCTTTATTTTCCTTAAAAATAATCGTAAACTATATTTACACGAAATATCTATATACATGTATGTTACATTGGAAAGATAGATACACCTAGCTTATAATATTTGTACATTATTTATACATAAATTTAATTACCATGTAATATTACACTTTGAAACAGTATTCAAATGATTTCCCAATCAGAAATAAATTATATATTTAGACTACAAGCAGTCTACGTCTTTTAATATAAAAAATCTCCCTTCAGTTTTGGAAATCAAGGGTAAATCATTTTTCACTATAAACTGAAAAAGTCAAAATGAAATGAATGTTATCAAAAAAACCTTCATCTATCAAAAGGTACTGTGATCAGCGTCTGAGTTCATGGATAACCCAATTATAAATCCATGTCAAATTTATTGTTCTTAACACGGAGTACAACGATAGATGAACTGACGTAAAAATGCACATTAAGGTTGCACTGCATTACAGGTGCACATTTCATTAATTAAAAATTAACATTCCTAAATAAATATAAAATAACTAATTTGCTATGAGAATATTCTATATCGGAATGCAAGATTGGCCTAATTATATTTTTATGGTACCTCAGTAGTAACAATTCGTTCCGAAACATTTTAAAAACTAACCTATTTTAATAAAGTTATATTTTATTATCGTTATCAATGAAATCTTAAGAGATTTCATCATTTTCAGTTGTGTACTGAATACTTAATATGTAGTTAGTCAAGTTTTTGAGAAATGTAAATAGAATATTTAGATTAGATTGGTTTCGGTCTGTAATATGTAACAATCTCTATTTAGTGGACTTCTTGTCACAATTATAGGGACCACCTTTATTTCGTAGTTTACCTCTTTAAGAGATGAGTAGCACTTTGCTGTTGAATTAGCTTCATGCTTAAGATCAACAGGCGGCTTCTTAGTACCACAATACTTTAAATAGTTGAGGTATGTTGTAACATAAATTTTAAATGTGAACAGTGAAATGAGACATTTAATGCAAATAAAAGTATTGCACTCCTGAGAGAGGCCCATATCGGTTATATTCATGTACAGAAGAATATCTGAAATTTAGAAAACCGTTGCAAAATATAACTCGGTTGCTCGATCTGCGCTCGTTCCGGAGCGTTATTATCGATAGAAGTGGCACTCGACGTGTCGTCTTGTAACATCGCGCACCGTTTCGTATGAAGGTTAAATTAAAACTTCTCAGATTTTCTCATCGGGCAGTCGTATCGCAAACCGTGGTGGTTCGATTACAGGAAATCACCGGGAGAACGGGGATTGGACAAGGTGCCTATGATGTTGTTGGCCGTGGGGATGTCGTCGGTCCTGGGCGCGGAGGCGGAGGGCGCGGGTGCGGCGGCGGGGCGCTTGCCGAGCTTGCGGAGTGTGGCGGGCGGCGCCGGCTCGCCCAGCTCGGCCAGAGGCGCGCAGTGCTGGTAGCACACCGCCGACGCGTGTCCCGAGCGCGCCGACTGCAGCGACGGGCCCGGCGACCACGTGTCACTCGCGGGCTCGTACACCTCCACTATGTCCAGGAAGGACGTGCCGTCGTAACCGCCTGGTGACAAATATCCACTAGCTAAAGTGTTTCACAGGAAACGTGACAATCGTAAAATATCGAGTCTCATAAGAAGAAAGAGCAAAGAAACTCCCGGTCACTCTTTTTTAATTAACAGATACGTACAATGGCATCGTTAAATATACCCATAGTTTTGATGTGTGCCAGTATATAAGTTTTAAGGAATAAAAGTTGAAATAGCAATGAAGAGAAAACAAGATACAGAAAAGGGATGAAAAAAAGTGAAGTAAAACACAAAAAAAAAAACACTAGCCCATATCACATTGCCACTACGAAATAGCCTGTGCTAAATTAATCTCAAGCATTCTTGTCTTCTATGTAATCCACAATTGAGTAATAGGCTTTCTGACATAGTTTACATTCTATTCATATTATTTGGGATTTTATTATAGAATCGGACATATTGACCTGAAAATGTTTTTTTTTTTGGAGCCTAGAGGCAAGTACAACAAGTTTATTTCTATTTCTAGGACTTCAAGCATCTATATCACTTCTTTTCAAGAAGCTAGTCGTTATATGCCCTAAAAATCATCTAAATTTTACATTTTCACATTTGTTATTGAAGGCAGTGTTACAAAACTGAGTTGAGAACTGAAAATTTTGAATTGATATAAAAAAATATTTTTATATTTTATAAACTGAAACTAAAATTTACCGGATGCTTTTGCCCAAACTATTTCGGCTGTGTTAAAATGACAGATATGCCAACCTAAAATCATTACAAGAAAAGAGCCACAAGATAGTTCTAAGTGAACATGGCACGTAATCATTTATAATAGGAACGTGGGTGGACTTATGTTTCGCATGACATGTAGTGTGTATGAAGGCCTCACCCAGGGCGTACAGCTTGTTGTCGAGCACGGTGAGCGAGAGCGCGGAGCGCGCGGTCTGCACGGGCGCCACGTGCTCCCACGTGTTGCGCTCTGTGTCGTACCGCTCCACCGACGCGAGCTGCTGGGACCCGTCGTACCCGCCCACTACGTAGATGTATTGGTTCATTGCTGCCACACCTATACCGAACGACGATATTAATGACCGCTTGCGAATGCTGAACAGATAAATATTTTTTTTCCTAGAGGTAATAAACAAAAGAAATCATGTGTGCCTACGGAATATAATAACGAACGTCCATAGAAATATTTAAAACGAAGACACTCATTTCATTAATTAGATTTAATTTTATCATTTGACTTAGTGATTAGAATAGTGACTTATGTACATGTCAAAGGTTTTTACAGGATAAGGCAAATCTCGTATTACTCCACTGTTGTTAATGGCTTCTCTGACAGTTTACCATGAAGTGAAAATTATCTGCGATCTGTCTAGTGGTACAAATAAATGACGTATGTGTAGCCCTGCATACCTGCCCCACTTCTTGCAATGTTCATAGGCGCGACTTCGTTCCAGCAGTTGTTCTCAGGATGGTAGCACTCGACAGAAGCTATCCGCCTGGCGCCATCGAACCCTCCCACCGCGTACAGCAGTCGGTTGACGACTGCGACGCCCACGCCCAGTCGGGCGCATCCCATCGACGCTATCGACGTCCACGTGTCACGCTCGGTATCGTAACTAGAATTAACAATATTTTATTCATTTAAGTAGGTACTGATAATTATAGTTAAGCACAGATTACCCCCTAATAGATTCCGCATTTTTGAATATTTGTTCCGATTCGACGGGGGACGTGTCAAATGCGCTGTGAATGGATATTTCAACGTCAAAGTTAGAATGCACCGAACCATATTGACGGGACAGGGTTAGGACGTAGATCGATAAAAACTTGAATTATTGATATTTATTTGATTATTGATAAATAATGATATTGATCAATGTTTATTTGATATTTATATTATTGTATATATTATTATATTATACTAGCTGACCCGCGCAACTTCGTCTGCGTCTCTCAATAGTAATAAATTTTCTCCGTTTTTGAAACATTCTTCATTGGTGCTCCGCTCCTTTTGGTCTTAGCGTGATGATATATAGCCTATAGCCTTCCTCGATAAATGGGCTATCTAACACTGAAAGAATTTTTCAAATCGGACCAGTAGTTCCTGAGATTAGCGCGTTCAAACAAACAAACAAACAAACAAACAAACAAACTCTTCAGCTTTATAATATTAGTATAGATAATAATAATATTTACCACACTTTTTTAAATATACAGTGAAAGTGAATTTTTTTATCTACAAAAGAAGGCGCTCAAATTTAACCTAGCCCACTTCTTTCGCGAACTAGAATTTTTTAGTCTCGTTTTTGTTCTCCTGTAAAGTGTTGATTTTTTACTTATATCACTTCACAGGAGGCACAGATTTGTATATTTGATTTTTAAATATATATTACACTAACTTTTAAAACGGATGAGCTTAGTATAAATACGCCTCATAGAATCCATCATCCATAGAAAAAAAAAACAGAGGATGACTAAACAAATATCGTCCTATAAATCACAACACTATCGATATACGTGCTGTCATTAAACAAAGACAACTATTCAAAGGGACATTTCAAAAAGACATCAACGGTGCATAGTTGTTATTACTTTGCACCATTATGTCACCAGTATAAGTTGATCTCCAGTGAGTAGTGAAGATGAAAGAATATAATTTACTTACCGATGAAATGTTTTCTTTTTGATAACTGGATGTCTTATCTGACTTAGATTAGAAATGGTGTGCATTTCACTGCACGGGAAGTCATTTCTAATATATTTTGATATAAAAATATTTTAAATTGTCTTGGTTGTCTAAACTTGGTTGTTACTAATGTCGTGATTTCGTATGCTAGCTACAGCAAGTATATGTTGAGCACCCTGCATGCGGTATCTATTAGGGGGTAATCTGAGTAGTTAAGACACCAAAATTTAATGGGGCACAATGGCACACAATTTTATGACATTGCTCTTAATATTACTTTAATCTCCAGTAAGGACACAAAATAATATTATTTGTTTTTGAACCTAAGAATCGTGAGGATATCCCTATCAATAATAATAAACATATAACATGAAATATTAAAAGTATAAGACTTTGGTTAGTGAATGTTGTTGTTTGGAAGTTTGGTGGATAAATGATGAAGATACTTGAAGCTTAGCGCCACTGGTAAGATACTGAAGCTGCGATGAAGGTCAAGAGTAATGGTGGCAACACCGTTAAACTTTTTATGGCAATAATTTATTCAGGTTCAGGGATGACCTTACTCTCCACTATAAAATACCACTATATTGGCCTAGTAAATAAGGGCAGGCAACACTTACCATTCTACTGTTTTGTGATATTCCGAGCCTGCTGAACCACCGACTGCGTACAGTAAACCATCCATTACTGCGACCCCTAACTGAGGACAAAAGACTTGAAATCAATCCTTTGTGTTCAACCCGAGTTTCTTTTTTTTTATTGTAATATAAAAGACCATAGGTCGGCCCGAAGTAAATCACCTTCGAACCAATTTTTCTTAATTTTTCCAATAAAGAAAAAAAGAAAACACTAACTCTTGCCGATACCTACTGTTATATTATGATTTCTCAATCCCTATTTATATGAATATATATGATCACCAACAATGCTAATAACAACATTACAAAATATGTAAGGGCGCGATAGTTTAAAACTTAGTAATGCTCTATAGTGCCTATCGAGGAGCGCAACAACAATGTTCTAAAAATTATCCCACAACCCAACACTATTTCTTTTTTCTTTTTGTTTATTCTAATTTCTTCTGATTAAGTTCTATCTAAGTGGTCAGCTTAACTTAAAACGTTTTAAATTTCTTATAATGATTATAAAATATATATATTATGAAAGATTATTTTCGAATAAAGCGCTAAATTAGTAGAATCGTATAGCAGGTATACATTTATGGATTGTACACATATTTTATTCGTTAATATCTTGGAACTTAACTTAAGCACTCAAATTCTTGTCCTCAGGTCCTTTGATAAATTAGAAAGGTATTTTTCCCCCTGTTTACAGAATTCCTTTGTTAGTTAAAAGAAATATATGACTTAAGGTAAAGAATTTCTAAGTTTCTTTGCGGGACATATAAATGAACTTAGCTGAAATGAACTGTTTGAAAGCGTGACGACTGCGCTTTCGAATGGCAACCTAAGTACGTCAAGCTTCATGAACTATTTGTCAGCTACACATTACAATTTGACCACACCTCAGTAGACTCGCCTAAGCGCCTTTTTTTTTTCCGTGCGGTAATCCCCTCGGATACCACCATGTCGGTGGCATGTCGGACTCGAACCGACTAAAACCGCACGCCGTCTCGGGTACTAATAGCCGGGGAACCAGGTATACCCTAGAAAGGAAGTCCCTGGTGCCCCAACATACCTCGGGCCATCTACAACAACAGGTAGACGACCCCCCCCGTGTGGGAACCCCATGTTCCCTCTGCTCCCTGGAAGCGAGCGCGCTTTGCAATGCGCTCGCCGCCACCCCGGCCTGCTTCTGCTAGGGTGATCGCTTAGGCGCCTGAAGTTCAGGCCGGCCCGGGTACTCTACGCCCTTTTCTGTACCCTGGATAAAGTGGACCTAGACAAAATTCCATGATAGTCGGTTAAGTACTTCGGCATCAAAGCGTAATAAACTCACTTCCGTAGATAAGATTTTGTTTAGTATTAGTATATTTAATATCTATTTGACTTACCCTATGCCTAGGCGTGGACATAGGACTGCAGGGTCGCCAGTGTTCAGTTGCAGGGTTGTATACATCTACCCAATCACTGTCGTATGAAGAACCCGGTGAAGTGTTCCGGCCTCCCACTGCATAGAATAAACCCTGTAAAATCCAAACCAAAGTAAATGTTAATAAAATTGTGTAATATAAAACATTTAACCGTCGCCATTTAACGTAATATAGGAACAAAAATTTAATAGTATCTACGAACAGGCTTATCAATCAAGACATAATATTTCAAGAATCTTTATTAGTGATCTTTATAACATGTAGCTTGAAATAATAAATAATATCTGTATGTATTGTATTTTCCGAACATGGGTACGAGATTTTGAGGGAATGACGACTGGACACGGGTTATTATCGCTTATTGCACGCACAGTAAAGTCAGGCTGAGTGACGTGCTTTCATGGGGCGTTTTAGTTCCGTATGCCGCAAATTTATAAAAACAGACCATTAAAGTACGTGGTACCATCCACAATAAATAAATTACCAAACTTTAGAAGTTACTAAGGTTTTTAAATATAACGAATAAATGGAAACAATAGTTCCTGCAGTATTAAACTAGATAAATATGTTTTTCTTGAAACGACCTTTATAGCACAAAGCTGCATTTATGTAAATACTCTCTCTCGTAAATATTCGTTATTTATCTACCTGTATTATGTATTATATTTGTTATTCAAATAAAAAACAACAGCAAAAACAACACAAACATCATACCTATGCAATTATTAAGTATAACGAGAGTACTTCAGATTTTTCTAAAAAACCAGTGCATCATCATCATCATCAACAGCCTTTACCAGTCCTTTGCTGGACATAGGCGTCTCCTTAGAAAGGAGGTTTGGGCCTAGGACCTCCTTTCTAAGAAGAGGCCTGTGTCCAGCAGGGGACTACTAAAGCATGTTGATGATAATGATTGTAATGGTACCAATTATAGTAAACAAATTATATTTTTGGTTATTCAACTCAACAAAAAAATTTTTTTTTATAGTAAGGCAGTTGACGGAAATGTCATAATATGGAAATAGAAACATTTCGTCAATTGGTGATTTAAGTCCTTTCACGATTAAATCCTTATTAGATGGGTTACTAATTAGTAATCATCAGGCTATTCCCAAGAACAACAGGAGACACGAAACGAGGCCAGTTTCAGTCAGCGAGGTCTATTTACCTTAAGAAATACAGCGCCTAATCCAGATCTAGGCACCGTTAATCTTGGTAAGGTAGTCCAACTGTTGTCATCAAGGTTGAAAGCTTCGAACAAATCTATGGAATGCCTGAAGTAACCTCCCGCGACGTAGATGATACGAGGAGTGTTCGGTCTTCGTTCCTTCACTACCGGCTTCTTGTGTAATGTGAGATCCTACAACAAAATATAAGTTAAATGAGTTCTTAAAATAAAGTATCCACACCAAAAGTAATCGTTGCTAACATGTAAGTATTTAAAACGAATCATCCCCTCAGTGTTACCATGTGGTCACTAGATTCGAGACTACATTCTCGTCAGACACAACTTTTAAATTTATAGTTATAAAACTGCAAGTCATTTGTGACTCAACAACATAGTTCACGTAGGCATGTCTGAGTTTTTATCGCTACTATATGTACTGATTATGTGTTTTCACTGAAAACTCTGGTGGCAACAACTAAACGACAAGCGTCGCGGGTTCGATGCCCGCTTAGTGCAAATATTTGCATACTGAGCGTTATTTGCACTAAGGTTTTGGGTCGAAAAATATGTACATGTTTAGTCATGCTATACCATACCTTTAAGGTAATAATAGTTATGGTTAGTTTTTATTAAAAATCCCATTACACCATTATTATTATACTATTCTCCATACTAATTTATAATTGCGAAAGTGTGTCTGTCTGACTGTCTGTAACCTCTTCACGGTTAAACCGCTAAACCGATTTAAATGAAATTTGGTATAGAGATAGTCTGAGTTCCGGGAAAGGATATAAGGTAGTTTTTATCCCAGATATCATCCTTTAAGGGGATGGAGGTTTGTATGGGGAATCAATAACCGCTTAACCGATTTCGATGAAATTGAGCATGGAGGTACTTTGATTCTTGTGGAAAGACATAGGCTACTTTTTACTGCGATAACCGACATTTAAGCGGTCGGAGCCGCCGGCAGAAGCTAGTGCTATCTATAAAAAATCCCCTTTTTTTCTTTCTTGAATGATCGTGGATGTTGAAGCCTTTATAAGATTAGAAGTAATGAGGTACACAAGTCACTTACAAAACAAGTTGCGACATCTTTTCTATGTATTACAGTGTTAACTCGACGAACAACTTGCTAAAATCATTAGAAAATATTGTAGTATTGTTAACTATATCACTTTACTATTTTACGTGATTCGCAGGAAAACATATTGATTTTCAAAACTAGTTGCTTGAGTGGGGAATCTATACTAAGATGGAAGGGACTAAATTAATCATTCGGTGGCCTAAACTGATTAAATGGCGAAGGGATGTTTTAATAGTAACAACATCAAGATTGATGGGATCGCTTGTTAAAGGAGCAAATACTGCTGACCTTCACATAGCGTCATCAGGGAACAGAGAAAAATCTTACACTACGTCCAGTAAAGAAAAGTTTTGTAGTAAGTTTAGTTTTTTTTTTCTGTTTAGTAAATAATGTATGCAATTAAATATAGTTTGTGGCATCGTTCTATTCTGTTCTGTTTTATATTTCTATTAAAAACGGGACCTCAAATGCAAAAATTTCTATACTTATATTATGAATGTGAATGTTTGTTTGTTACGCTTTCACGCTTAAACCACTGAATCGATTTAAATCATTATTTCACCTATGGAAAGCTACATTATCAGCGATTAACATAGACTACGTTTTACCGCGATAATCGACATACACAGGAGCGGAGGCGGAGCGGCGGGCAAAAGCTAGTAATTTTATTACAGAAAGTGTGAAATGCAATAGCTTACAATTTAAATATTATTTTAATTTACCTTAAATATCTTGGCGAGGTATTCTCTGCAAGCGGGAACTTTCTTTAGAACTGTACACGTGCTCATTTGTTCTTTGAGGAAACTCGGCGTCAAATACTGGCATCGTACGGCTTGCAAGATGTGCTCCATGCGCGGGTGACGTCGGTCTTCATCGAATTTCACCTTCGCAATTGTCTTAATTTAGAATCATCATGATAACAATGAACTTAGAAGATTATTCTCAAACTGAAATATCTTTATTTCATAAAAAAAATAATTGAAATCGTTTTTTGTGTAGACTCTAAGGAGTTGATCAACACACACGATAGCAACAATCTCTGTTTTGATAACTAAATATATACGTATCGGCAATCTCTTCTATGCCTGTGCCGATCTACAACCGCCCATTTCCAAGTGGTTGATCCTCATGAGCAGAAAGGTCAACCAAACTCACAGCCACTCTTTTCAATCAACAGATAACAATGGCATCATTAAATATATACGACATTGTTTTGATGTGTGCCAGTATGTAAGTTTTAAGGACTAAAAGGCAATGAAAAGAAAACAAGATATAGTAACAAGATGGAATAAAAAAGAGTGACAACAAAAAAATATGGAAAATAAAATAAAATACACATTAGCCCACTATACGAAATAGACTGTGCTAACTTAATCCCAAGCATTCTAGTCTTCTATGTTATCCACACCCTCTGACACAGTTTACGTTTTATGGTGGATTTAAATTTGTTTGTACTAAAACCTTGTATACTAATTGGGGTTTTATTATAGAATCGGGCATTATTATATTACATTATTTAAGTTTAATATCATAAATGCGAGACTGTAACAACTAATCTATGTTTAAGCAAAGTTAAAACAAATCTTGAGTTATCTGCTCTGTATTTCGTCTAACACAAAGATAAGTCGTAACATTGTAACCAGAACTATTCGCGAAAGTACCGAATGAAATAATATATCTGTATTCAAAGATCCGTATTCTATTTATTAAAGATGTAAATGTCTATGTAATAATAGTAATATATTTTTCTATGCCCTTGCCTACCTAGTAATCTGTTAAAAAGTATACCTACTTGGATTCCTGCTTGTTCTCGCGAATTGATGTTTTCGTATGGAATACTAGATATCCCATTTAGCAATATTTTTGAAGGCATTTTAAACGTTTTTCATTAGACTACTTGGTGTATACTTTGATAGATCAATTGCAGTGATGTTACAGTAGCTTTTTAAGGAATTTGTTTGAGAAGAGGCTCACATCTACTTATTTATTGTACTGAGCTTAGAGGTTCGAAGGTGTTTTATTTTTTTACGTGAAATTAATTTAAACATTTTTATAAATTATTAATTTCGCATTTCAGAAAATTGGCGTCTTGTAAAAAATAGAGAGATCTTGTTAGTTTTGGTATGGTATAGGTATTTTAGTAAAGGTATTTTGTAAAAATTATGATATTGATATATGTTTCTGTTTAAGGTGTCGAACACTTTGAGGACAATCGCTGCTCTGAACCGGATGCTCGGCGCGATGAACTAAAGGCACGTCCACCTTGTGTTGTCACTTACAACTACTGCAATAGTGTGCTCACCTGACCGCATTGTACGCGTACATTTATCAATTAGATCGGCTATGTTAGCCACACAACAGGAGTTAAAGATAGATGTGTTCGATTTTCAGCTTTTTGTATACAGGGTTAATGCGACCTAAATGCTTTAATTTAAAGGATTGTAGTTGCCATAATTTCTAATAGATTTCACTATGAAATACTATATCCCAAAACTAATCATTTTCAATTTTTTTATTATTGGACTTTAAGATTTTTTTTTAAAAATCGCCTAAATTTTGCCTTTCCTCTGTGTATATTTGTAAGTCGATAGCCAAAAACATTTCTCGTTTGGTATAAAGAAATCTTCTCTCTTGTAAATACTATTTAAAATTTAATGTTCTCGTGTACCGAGAACTCCACCAATAATAACAATATTTCGTTATTTTTCGATACGACCTATTATCGAACACGTTAAGTATCTTCTGCATTAAATGGTTTAGCTTTCTAGTTTGACCTTTAAAGTCGCACAGTAAGGGTAAGGGTTTCATGTATAATATTAGGCTGACCCGTCTAAGCAGCTTGCGAAACGTCCTATATTTTCCTTGAGCTTAGATAGATTTAGCTTTAGCGAAGTTGAGGGTAAAGAATTTATTTTTCTCATAAAGAAATTTACATTTCACTTACAGGAGAATATGTTTTTCACTTTATAAACTGATATATCCTTCATCACTCAAATATTTTAATACATTACATTTATTACATAATTTTCGTGCAAGTTCAAGAAAGTGTTTAGGGTATTCTGTATTCACAGGGGGGGTTGTCTACCCACCGTAGATGGCCCCGAGGTACGTCGGGGCACCAGGGATTTCCTTTCTAGGGTACACCAGGTTCCAAGACTACTGGTACCTGAGACGGCGTGCGGTTTTAGTCGGTTCGAGTCCGACATTGCCACCGGTAAGTGGTATCCGAGGGGATTTCCGCACAGAAAAAAAAAGGGTATTCCACTGTAAGTCAAAAGTGTTGTTTTTCTTGTTTCGGACATTGTCCCTTAAGGCATCACGTACCAAAATATGTTTTTAACAGCATAATCTATTTTTCTCCTGCCTCCTCGGGGACAAGCCGGTTTGAAGGAAGTTGAGACTACCCTTAGGATTGTTTTGTTTCATAGTATTCCATCAATCATACCGGTAACCTTCTTGGTCGCTCACGAATAGGCAAGTCATTCCCGGTGTTAATTTTGTGTTGAATTAAAACAGTCTTTCCGATATCAGCATCAGTAGAAGAGAAAATATCGGCGTACATAACTAAGATCCTCTTAGCCTAGTAGACAAAACATCTCGACAGTCTATCAAAAGTGTTAACACGTTGATTCGTGCATCCTTGCTAATATTTGCAGTAGTCAGGTCTTGGCATCGACGCACCCAATCTACATCTTCGCAAGTGCCAATCAGTGTGAACTTATGAACCACGTGTTGCCTGTTACTAAGATTTAACACACGTACTGCAGAGATGTTAGTGGTACTTACTAGAGATCGTGCGCTTTTATACGGAAGGTCATTATCTAAAGTTTCAATAAGTACACACCGATGCAATTGTCCAGAGTTATGAGGAAGAACAACTTTCTTTAAGCTGTACACTTTTCCTGATAATGCCCCCTGCATGAACAGTTCTTCTTGACTACATTTCATTACACCTTGCTTAAGGTCGATCACACAACCATTCTGCCTTATGAAGTCTAGGCCAAGGATGCAGTCGTCAACTATATCATCCACGATGACGTTATACAAATAAAATTGGTTGCCCAACTTCAACTCCACCTTCTGTTGGCCTCGGACGAGTATGCGCTGACCAGTGGCTGTTACGAGGTCTATTTACTCACGATTACATGAGATGGCTATCAGAAACCGATTTGCAAGTTAGGAACTGACAACTGCGTGAGACGGTCTCGTATCAATCGTCAGCTCACATGGCGTTCCGTTGATTTCGCCTATGATGACCAGGCTGTTCCCATCATGGGTTTGCCAGATCGAAATCCTTGGGGCTCTTTAAACACCAGCCAGCACTCGCCCCGCAGTCCTGGCGTTTACTCTTTTCATTGTTGCTGCTGTTCATTGCTGGCTGCTGACCCTCTAATGTAGGCAGTTGTCCACCACCAAATCGCCTCTACTTTTATATACTTTTATCGCACTTCTAAAACCAAAGTGTTAAGAGCGGGGTATACAATATATAAAAGTTGTCGGTTAATTACTTTTATTGTATTGTAATTACAAACACACAAAGAAGAAATCACTATATAACTCGTTAGTCGCACTAGAAATTCGCTTCGATGGTGATTCGCCGTGTCGTAGAACGGTACTGTCCCGTACACCCAACACGCTAGAATAATCCCTACTATTTGATAGTCTGCTCTAAAAAAGAATATTCCAGCATCAGTCACGCGTTACTTGCAGCGCCATCTAGCGTTATAAGGATCAGAATTATTAATCACAATTTCAATAGTTGCATTTTACGTGACACTAGATGGCGCTGTCCTCCACATTCCATACAATTTAGGAACAATTCAAACTATTTTATCCTATGGCGCAGTAGTATGTTTTAATGAGAATTGAAGTGACGTTTAATATTGATCTTACTGATTTTGGATTTTGTTTTCGGTAGAATGTGAGCTGTTTGTGTCTTTCTGGTATTTTAGGGGAACTGACTTTTCAATAATGACTAATTTATATCAACTATGTAATTATTGTATGTTTTCCCTGTAACTTTTACTCGTTTAGTTCCTTTGATTTCATCGAATTTTTGGCTTAGGTATTTTTGTATTAATGGTTTCTGTGACACCCTCACCTCTTCTATACATTTTTTAGATTTTGTTATTGTTTTGGTTCCACCCCTCAAAAATAGATGACGTTGATCGTGTTTAAAATTTATCGAATTTCTGTTCCCAATTACCTACTTAAAAAGTTTAACTACAGCACAACAGAACGCGCTGTATGTAGATGACAGAGATTTAGAAATTTAAATAGTTTATATTTTTAATATATTTTAATATTTTTTAATAATAACTGAATGTCTGAATTGAAACATTAGGTGTAGGCCTCATTCTCTCTCTGCTTATTGTAAGTGATTATTATAGATACTTATTAAATATATTATTCTAGATTTTTTAAGAATGTTCTAAATATAAATTAAAAAAAGATAATAAATAGAACAACATTGCATAATCATTTCAACAATAAATAAATAAAAAAGGACTGATAACAGTATAGAATAAACATAATAGTAGATATATAAAATATTATTTCAAAATTAATTAAGACCTGAGAGTTGTAGTCGCGATGCTTACCCAATTCAATACTGCTTGGTAGACTTCTCTTTCTTCTCTCACGTTAAGTTCGTCTTTTCTAATCAAGCAAATCAATTCCTGCGGCGTCAATTGCAAGAACTCCTCCTCTTGGCACACCTGCCAATAAGATCAGCATTTAGGTCACGTTCATGAATAAGGATCATAACACTTCCATTTTTAGCCTTTGCATTGTTTGCACAAATACAAAAGTCAAATGTGGATTGGGATACATGCTTGGAATAAAACGTAACTAAATATTTAACGTTTAAGCCAATTATCGACCGCATTACCTACACCTAATTTACGGATATTCGAGGCCTGCAGGAGACTAGTTTGAGCCGTGCTGTTTATAGTCTTATATGGGATATCACTTTGGACAAGGACTTTAAAGAACCGCAATGTTTTGTTTCTTCAATCCTTACAATAAGCGATGGCCATCGGGATGATAAGAGTCGCGTTACACTCTTTGAAGCGGAGGTACTCCGCCATGAGACCTGGATTCGAAAGCCTTTGGTTCCTTTTTTCAATAGCGGAAGAACACGTTAGATCAGGTTCTGTGGCATTTGTCTAGTAAAATCAAGGCTCAACAGTTCTAAATCTACGCGGTACTTGTGGATGTGTATAAAGAGTGTCTAGGACAACCGAGCGCAGGGTATGTTACAATTCTAACGACAAGACCGTACAGGGTACCAGTGAAGCATAGGCTGTTAGCAAACATGTGCTATCTGTCCTTAGGATATTACACTCCACACCCTAGTGGAATGTTCAGCATGGGTCCAGTAACGCCACGATCTCAAGATAGTTATAGGTGTAGCAAGGTTTTCGGTAAACATGGTAACACGGCTAGATAGCCCAAAGAGAGATTGTCTATGACTCTGCGTCATTTTGTGAATAGGTGATGCACGCTCAAAAGGCGGTGGAAAAAATTGTGAAGGGTTACAGCCTAACAGCCTACGGCGATGCCTGTAGGCGTTAGACGTCCCGTTCGTCATTCGGTCATCAGTTCGGTGTACATGCCATGTAATGTGTATATTATGTATTTCGCGGAAGTGACTCATTATATCAAGTGCCTATAGGATGAACAAACTTAAAAATAATATTATGTGGGTTTATAATAAATATTCACGTAAATACATATAATGTTGCATACCGTAAAAATTGCACCGTCATCGTGACTGTATTTTGGGCACATAAAGACTCGTTTTAGGTAATTTGAAAAATTCAATTACTTGTTAAAATTCTTCTTCTTTTATATTTGAACAAGTGATTATTGTAATTATGTAAAACAAATGATTCCTTTATAGTATTGATTGACGAAGAATGAAGCAAGCTCTCTAAACTAAATGAACTGAATACTCAATCATCAAGCAATCAATCGGGATTTTCAATTATCCATTCTCGCTGTGTATATTAGATATGTACTATTTCTAAAGTAAAGACATCTCTTTGCTTACCGCTTTTTAAGTAAAATTGCATCGGTCGTTGTCAAGGGTTGACTGAATTGAGGTGAATACAAGCTACTATTAGGCCCGTATTTTAAAAGACGTCTCAAGTATCGGTTGAAGTCTGATTGCCTGAAACTAGTTTTAAGTGCAGATCAAAACTTAAGTATCGATCTTATTATATAGAACGCGTTTTAAGTTTTACTCAGTTGAAACTAGTTTCAAGTATTGATTTGAACTTACAGTCTGCTCCAATTACGTTTCCGTGTGATTGACATTATTATTCCGTATTACGCAGCTAATTATTTAAAAAATAATTTTCTTTTACAAACATAATTTCTGTGAATTTGTGGATAGTATACTTTTAGTTAGTGTAACAATGTTAACATATTACCAAGCTTGTTGTTAGTCCAAAATTAAATATAATAAATATTAAAATAAAAATGACTAGGCTATAACAAAACGTTCAAGATAATTATAAACACTTATCATGTTAAATTGTCAAATAATGTTTGTATTTTTATATTTCTTTAATTTATATTACTAGAATAACATATACTTTTAACATTAACCATAAGGTTGTGGTGCTTTTAATTTAAACAAGTATTGTGTGTGTATTATGTGAATTGCAGTGAATTCAATTCACTTTAATTTACCTTAATTTGCAATTAAGGTAAATTAAAGTGAATGATTAAATAAAGATGATGATGATTAAATTAAAAGACAATCTTTCGTAATTGTTCATAAAACACATTCATTTCCCCTAAAATGCCCTTGAAATCACCGCTTGAGACTAGTTTCAGCTTGTCTCACGTAAACAAAGTCTCAGCTGTCAAAATCGATTCGACGAAGATTTCGATTTAAACATCGTTCTAAAATAAACTATCACTCACTTGAGTACGGATCGGTGAAACTCGTTCTAAGTGACATTCAATAATAAATCTCTAATTCAAATTTGTTTTAAGACTAGATTGACGACTGAGACAAATTTTAAAATACGGGCCTTAGAATTTTTGGGTTGTCCGAAACTGTGATTATTGTTACCTGTGTAAAATGTCTCTCAATGAACTGGTTGGCTTTCTTCTTGAGATCCATGCAACAGTGCTGTTCCGCAAAATTGGCTATGCCGATGGCGTTTGACGGGTCCAACTGTCGTTCTAGAAACGCGCAGCAGGCGTCTATCACGTTCGATATCTGTAGGGACAATGCTAAAATAATTGTAGATTGCTAATGTTTCCCAGTAAGTTCTAGCTCAAACCGCGCGAATATGTTTACTCATAAATTTAACACAATGGAAAAGTTAATATTTTCATTAACTACCTTGGAGCTAGAATCTTAAATTGTTTGTACCTACTTATTATGTGACAAAGTTTGTAGTGTAATCAAAGCAATAAACAAAAAAAAAACTTTGGAATACGTCCACAATAGGTGAAAATAACATATTTTTTTTTTCAAAAACCATTCGCTTAATAAAATTTTCTCAATTGTAGTCAATTGAAAAGAAAAAAATGGTTCATTGACAATGTGACCTTCAAAGACATTCATTACTGTCTATTTTAAACTGCTAAGTCATAGTTACTAGCGATAATTACAAAATAATTAATAATTACAAATAAGAACATTTTAAATAAAATTGAGTCATTTTATTTACCAATGTAAGATGTACAGTTGACAAGTGAAAGAAACGATATGAAACAGTAATACCACATCCTATTCAGTTCTGTTTGCCAACTGAAAAAACTAGTTACCTCAAAACCGGCAGGTTACCTAATTGAAATCGATTGTTTACATATAATTATTAGTTAAACTTAAACTCAAACTCAATTTCTTTATTTCATAAAAAAAAATAAAAAATCGTAAAATCTAGATATTCCATACTAAGCTACTACAGCTAAGTTTGGAGTAGATACAAAAAATAATTTACCGCTCACAGAGAACAACGGTATTTGAGATATGTATTAAATTGTCGCAGATTATAGATATTTAGGTACAGTTGACTTCTTTAATATCTGACTATGTTCATGAATCAAAAATTTATAAGCAAAGGCAAGTTTCATAAAACTCTAAGCAGCTTTGCCTTACAATAAATTGTAAACACTCCGTGACATCATAAATATGTAACTAGATAATATCAAGAACATTGCTACAGGCAAATACTCTGAATATAGTGCGCAATCCCTAGTTTATTTTTTCAATGCAAAGTGAGGTTTATAATCGATGCAAATTTTCTAAGAAAAATATTTTAGTCACGATTTTTTTTCTTAAATTCTTTGATAAATTGTAACAATCTCCTTTTGAACAAATACATATAGTCTGCGTTGACCCTAAGATTCTTTATGCGTTGACCCTAAGATTTCCTACAATCTAATAAATCAAATAATAGATGCTAAACAACGTTGTCACAGTGATACAGTCCTATTACGAATGGCAACGTCGCATTAATACTTTTACACCGGCAAGTAAAAATAAATCTAATAATAAAGGCCATATAGCTGAATATTAACAGATATTTAGATATTTATGAATCCCAGGTTGTACTAAATATATTGAAATCTAGAGCATTTAGAAATTTTTGTGCAGAAATGTAGTCATTCATTATTTATTTTATTTTTTTTATGGTAGAGGGGGCAGACGAGCAGACGGGTCACCTGATGGAAAGTGACTATCGCCGCCCATGAACGTCTGCAACTCAGGAGTCACAAACGCGTTGCCGGCCTTTTAGGAAGGAGTACGCCTTTTAGGAGTGTCTCGAAAAGCGCACAGTAGTGGAGCGCCAACTATCCAGGTAATGAGGATGAAAATTTTGCCGTGTGGAACGCTGGCGGAAATTTGCGGCTGGTATTAGTCCGAACAATTCCTCGGAGCACTCTCCATGATATATGCAATAGAGAATGCCAAGTGAAGCCACATCTCTACGTGACGCCAAGGGATTCGAATCGCTCTTCGTTGGATGCGGTCTAGAGGGAGAAGCTGGGACTGAGGTGCCCCTGCATAGAGATGAGAACAGTATTCCATATGCGGCCGGACTTGCGCCTTATAGAGCTGAAGGCGGTGGGCCGGAGTGAAACACTGCCTCGCTCTGTTCAGTACACCGAACTTCTTCGAGGCCAATTTGACCTTACCCTCTAAGTGACCCCGAAACTGGACTTCGCTCGATATGTCGATGCCTAGGATTCCGATGCTGGCTGAGGCAGTTAGGGAGGTGCTCTCAAACTGAGGTGATACGACAAATGGTATCTTTTTTGCGGTGAACGCACATACCTGTGTCTTTTTTGGGTTAAACTGGACTAGATTTAGTCTGCCCCAATCTGAAACCTCCGCTAAGGAAATTTCAATTTCAGACACAAGTTTGTTTCGACTCTCGATGACGTTTTCCCGAGAAATATTGGGGCGGCCGGTATAGAGGGCATCTCCTGTGTTATCATCTGCATAGCAATGGATGCCACTAGTTTGCAACATATCATTGATATGCAGAAGAAACAGTGTGGGTGATGGCCACAGCCTTGTGGGACACCAGAATTTACGAATTTCAAATCGGAGCATGTGCCGTTGACAACGACCTTAATGCTTCTGTCCGCAAGGAAGCTGGTGACCCAATTACACAATTTCTCGGGAAGCCCAAAGGGCTTTCTCGGGATGTCCAAGCCAACCGCACAAGCCTCTCCTTTGGTCTCGATCGCCTGTGCCCACCGGTGTGCTAGAAAGACGAGAAGATCACCAGCTGTGCGACCCCAGCGAAAACCATATTGTCGGTCATTGCGTAGCTGATGATCATCCAAGTACCGGCGGAGCTGGCTGTTGATTATGGATTCCATAATCTTGGAGAACAAAGGAGTTATGGCTATAGGCCTGTAGTTGGACAGGTCAGAGCGGTCACCTTTTTTAGGGATCGGGTGCACAAACGCTATCTTCCAGGAGTTCGAGACGACGCCTTGAGAGTAGGAGAGACGAAAAAGGCGCGTTAAAACCGGACTTGACTCCGCATATTTATTTATATATATATATTTATATATATATTTTATATATATATTTATCGTAACATATTTATGAACAATTTATATAACATTTTATTGATGTATAACACACACTCGTAACACTCGTGTATGGAACTATATGATCATTTTAACGCTTACAATATTTTTAAACATTGGCACTGGCAATATATTATTGAACTCGACTATACAACAAAAGGATATTTTTCTTAGAATAAAAAAAACACCCCCACTCTAGTCTACATCTGTAAATTTTTGTATTTGGTATCCAAAATACAAAAATTGTAAACAATACTAAATTAGAGATGTGCCGACCTGTCGATTAGTCGTACGAATTAGTAAACAAGAATGTCAATACTTACTTGGAACATGGTAGCGGCAGGTAAAAGCTGACAGACAGTTATTTCGGTGACCCTAATCTTGCCAGTGTACAGGAAGTATACGAGCCACGCAATTGCCGAAGGACAAACGCCTTGAAGACGCACTCGTGACATTTCACACTCTTTTAGGCCGCTCGTGAACATAGCCTAAAACAATAGTTAATTATTACTGTAGTCAATAAACGATTTCGTCTACTTTCTGTTCTCTCTCTTTGTGTGTTCTGATTACTCTTGATATATCCCTCTGGCCTTTAGATATACATCACAAACTAGAATCATCAATTTCGCAAGTAAAGGAAAAAATCTATTATTATTTTTGGATAATTTAATAGAATTTCTCAAGATTTTTTTACCTGCATATTTCGGTTACAAAAATGACTGTTATATAAATATATATCCATTAATATTTTTGAAACTGCAACTCGTTTGTCTTTGAGTTTAGGTATTTACTAATTAGTAACATGTTATCTTCATGTTACTAATTAGTAAATAACTAAGTAAAGATAAAAAAATAATTTAATTCAAATACATATATTTTTCTGAATTTTCTAGCGGGTATGCTTTAATTTGTTTTTTTTTTTACTTCAAAGTATCATTATATCAAATCAAAGTATCAATCAATCAAAGTATCATCATACCATTTTAAGCAAATAACATTTTACTAAAATAAACACTGTATACTGCAAATTACTGTCATGTAATTAAGTAAATAACATTTAATCATTTAATGCGATTAGTTGTCTTGAATGCATCGAACTGTAGGAGCGGTTTCGCACTACGTCCGATCAGAATCCAATCCGAGCCCGTGAGAATACTAGAACTATTTCTAAGGTAGTTCACGCACTAGATCCGACTTCAGTCATCCAATTTATGTTTCTATTCTCGGTGAATCTCTATTCCGGATAAGATTATTGAAGCAATACTACTATTTGTATGAACGCACCCAGATTTTTTTGTGTTGAGCTGTGAACTTCGTCAGTGTCGTTAGTACGTACAATACCATTACACGAGGTTGACGGCGATCGAAAAGACTATGATCAAAGACGTGAACCCGCTGTCTGTGGCTCCGCGTAAAATGACGTATGCTAAAAGGTGACCCCGCCATTGCTTGGATTAGAGTCAAAGATCATAATAATGCGTAAACATTTTATTTGCAAATTCAGTCAGTAGGTCAGTTTCCAAATCCTTAATTACGGATCAGAAATCAGAGATAGTGCGAAAAGCAATATCCGAATTCAGTTCGAGATTTCTAGGTCCGTATTTTCACGGGTCGGATCGGATTCGGATCTGACGTGCAGATTCCCCATGCTATATCTGGGGAATGTTTGTAATGCGTAAACCCAGTTAACACACTCTAACATGCACGAGAGATCACGCTTATATTGCATAAATAAAACTAAGACCTGTAAGTCCTTAATCTCGCATTTTTTATGATGAGCTGACTCTTTTGCATTGTGATAAGCATCCGCAGAAAGACGTTTTAGTAAGTTTGGCACATACATATAATAATATGTACATATATTTCGTAAATTTAGAAAACGACTAATGTTTTGGATCAACTTTTGGATTTAGAAAGAATTTTACTAAACTAAAAAAAAAGACGAGCGTATCTCAGGTATTTATAGTTAACAAAATAATGCTACAAAAATAATAAGAAAACGTATGTAAATCAATAAAATATAAAGTGTAGTGGGGTCATCGTCAACAGCAGTTAGACTGGTTACTAGCAATGCTAATGATAATAATGTACGATAAAAATCATGAGCTCATTGTTATCTGAAAAAAAAAACAATATCACTAAGTTCATTGTCATTTGTCACTTGTTTAAAAATTTAATTTCCTCGAAAAACCTCGGGTCTAAACATCGTATTTTAGTAAAATCACGATTCACATTTCATATTTTTTAATTTTATCTCTAAAAGTAATCTGCTTTGAAGTGCTAGGTAATATTGTTTACATAAATTCCTCGAAAAACCTCGGGTCTAAATATCTTATTTTGGTAAAATCACGATTCACATTTCATTTTTTTTAATTTTATCTCTGAAAGTAATCTGCTTTGAAGTGCTAGGTAATATTGTTTACATAAATTCCTCGAAAAACCTCGGGTCTAAATATCTTATTTTGGTAAAATGACGATTCACATTTCATTTTTTTTCATTTTATCCCTAACACTAATGTACTTTTGAAGAGTGCTAGTTTATATTGTTTTAAATCTTTCTTTTTCTGGGACATCCTCGCTCTTCAAATCGTCAAGACATAATTCCTAAATCAAAAACATAAGTATACGTTACAGTAGTATATTACACCGAAAGTACTGGAATTTAAGGATAACATTACTGCATCATAAGTACTTACTGTAATTTCAATCACAAGAAAAAGTTGGCAAAGTATGAGACAAAAAATGTAGTTTGAAAAAGCTTAAAAACTTTGATGGTAAATTAAAAAGTAATTTTTTTTTGGTACTGCTAATAGATATGGATGCTAATGAATACAGGAATCGATTCTCAAATTTTTTGCCTAGTGACAGTTAACTTTCCGGTTGTATAAATATCTCCAATACATAGAATACGTAACGGTAAATATAAGTTTTTAATAGCAGAAAATATTGATTTCATGTGACATAACAAATTAACGACTTTCGCTTTTTTGTATTCGTACTCTATTTGTGATGACTACTCCAACTTTCATTATTCTAGGTTAGTGACCTGGCCTTGATTTACCTGTGAAATGTCCAAATATAAGGCTGTATCTTTTGATTCGTTGCCTTAGAAACTTTGCAATTCGAATATGAGGGCTCCACGCGTTCCTGTCAGAAAAGTTCTTGAGAGATAACGAGATGTACGGGCACGAACAGAATTCTAAAGCACAGGTTTACCAAATAATTTTAAAATTTGACTTATCCTATTGGGTTTTTTTTCCTGTAAGCTCATATCAACTACCTCAGACGCCGAATCAATTGTATTTATCTATCAAATCATGTAAACATATTCTTGAATATCAATATACAAAAGCACTACATGATAACAAAATGTATATCGAGCTCTTAAACAAATATGGACCCGATTGCTTGATAGCAAACCGTTCTCATGAAATGCTAAATTATCAGTCACAATCACGCACTACACAATTAAAAAAAAAGTGCAGTGCGTGGTGTTAATAATAACTTCAATCACACACACGGTCGTCTGATTCCAAACTAGTACTCTGCGTATGTGCTATGGTAACCAGACTACTGATAAACATAGTTATAAGTATGTTTCTAAACACATACATACATATTATAGATAAATTACACCCAGCCACAACAAATCATCATGCTCAACACACAATTATTTGACCTGGGTGGAAATCGAACCCATGACCTCCGGCTTAGCAGTCAGGGTCACTAACCACTAGACCAATGATCTAACCCACACTTCAACCAATGGGACTGAAGGGTTTAATGTGGCATTGATTACAGATTTATGATTATGATTGGTTGTTTGTTGTTATGATCAGTGTTGATTACTTTCCCTGGTTTAAGACTGTATTTCCTAGCAATTAAAAAAAAAACAGGGAATAGTAGCACATTATAGTAAAGTAATACAGTCAATATTTATCTGTTTCTAAAAATGTACTGCGTAGGTATATCATGTATATGTACATACAAGTCATGTCGTATTTGTTGAGGATGATTTGCAAGTTTTAATCAACACGTTGTAATAATATAATCGAGTTTCTGACGTACTAATATTATATATATACCTATGTAGTTTATTGAACTGAACACAGATGTTTAGAATACGTTATTTATTAGAATTATGGAATTATTAGTGTAATAAAACTTCAGTTGACTTATCGCATCAATGACTAGTAACTATCAATATCACGTACGTTTCTAAAAGGACAACTTCCTCCATTTCTATGCAGAATAATCCAAATTAATGTTATAATGCAGCTAACATTCATACTTTTTATTACTATCAATTATTTTGTTACACTAAATAGCAGCAAACGGACGAGTTAAATATTATTTTAAATTCTGACAAGATCTATTATGGCCCACCGATTGCTATCACAATAACTACATGTAATTTTACTTAGTAATAGTGTGATCACCACGGGTGATCATGACCGGTTCAAAAATAACATGGTATTCCGTTCACAGGTGAGTATATTGCTAGGTCTTGGACAACTTAAAGAAAGGAGTCTCTCTGAATTCAAAGAGAGTGACTACGGAAATACGCCGACGAGATTGTGTTTAGTTAATCAAATAGTTAGAATATGTACCTGCCCACATATAGTACCATACCAATATATAGGAATTTGTTTTACTGTTTTGTATTTTTGATAAATATTACTTACTTTAAAATAGGGGCTCCCTGCAGCTAGCACAACTTTATGTACATGGAAAAGCTCGTTACCCACCTCCAGCACAACGTCTGTCAGCATATGGTGCGAGCGCATTGTGAACATCATCTGTGGAAACAGTTTTAGTATTTAGTTTCGGGGAACTAACACACTATTAAGTTTGTTGAAATATTAGGAATTAAGAGCTTAGTTTGGGATTGTAAAGAGGATGACCTGCTCATTTCATACACATTACAAGATGTTTGTCTATCAATGTATCCGCAAATATCACAAGCATACTGTACCTCTTCTCCAACCTTCGGGTAAAAGAAAAGACAAATGTCCAATCCCAAGGGTTAAATGCAAATTTGCTCAACAGCGATATAGTAACATTGCACCAAGGCTATATAATAAACTTAATTTAGATTACAAAACCAGACACTTATCGAACTACCAAATTAAAAACATAATTAAAATATGGCTTAACAGTTTGGTCTACGATGATGTAGAAAGCTTATTGCTGGTAAGAACGTAGTTCAGGTTTTAATACACATACACAAACACATACACACACACACACGCGCGCGCGCACTTGCACAAGCACACGCACACGCATAGGCACACTCACACGCACACTCACACTCAAACGCACACTCACACGCACAGGCACACACACACACATGCACACGCAAAATTAACAAAAGATCTTTTGTAAGTATTCTTCAATGTTTCTTTGTATGTTCCACGTGATTATTGTAACAACTTATTGTATCATGTCTTTGGGAAGGAACTGATCCCCGATATACAGCTCACGCTAGTTTGGGAATCAGGGCTTGCACTTGAATTGTATGTATCATTTGTTACAATAAAATTTATTATTTATTATTATTTATTTATTATTACATTCCGGAGTAAAATTCAGCGTTGTCGCAGTGGGTGTATGCTCAATGCAGTACCGATTACCTTTTATGCTTCTTGAGTCTCACAGACATTTTGTTAGTGTTGTGTTTCTCTAAAAAATGAAACAAAATCTTTTTATTTATATTCTTAGCCTTAAGATGTGTTTGGAAATCCTTTCGGGGGAATCCTTTGGAAATCCATTTTGCACATTCTGTATTTATTTCGGCTCTTAATATATCCACCACTGGCTATGGAAAAGCATTACCTATCATTGTTTACGATCTCATTTCGTTAACAGGTTTTAAGAGTCCACAGCTGGATATAGGCTTCTCTTTAAAAAGGAGGTCATAATAGACAATAAAGAGTTGACTGACTAAACTAAGTACCTTAGTAACAGTTAGTAGAACTTGGTGATATTGAGAGTATCATTGGAACCTGACCTTTAAAATAACAAAAGATTCTAAATCGGAAAGGTGACAATATAGAAATGTCGACGAGCATACATAAAAATAGGTACATCACCCAAACATAGAACCTTCCTTATTTCAATCTTAAAAAATAATCAAATTTTAGGCGTTTTAAGATACTTATGGAATCTACAAAATTCTATAACATGGTTGTACAACTTTCGAGACCACTTTTTTTCAGTTTATTGGTAACTTACAAATAACCAAGTTTCTAGGATTATTCAATAGACATTGTTATTAGATCAAGTACGAGTAATCAGGCTTTTTCAATTTCGCATGAATGAATTTGATCCCTATATCGTGGTTTCATCACTATTTGCGTTATATAATTCATGTTCATTAATTATTTTCATAATTTACACAAACAGAAGATTAACAACACTGCGTTGATGAAAATTTAATTTATTGATTTAAGCGTTTCTACGTTGTCATGATTGTGCAGTTTTTTATCAGATTACGTTGTAATGACGTAGCATGTTTTGTTTTCTTACTCGCTTTATATATATTATAATTTTAGTCACACATTTCGCATCACGCCGCTCACATTTCATTGATTGCTTACATTGTAAAAAGAAAGTATTAAAAATGTTTTACATTTATATTTTGTTACAATATTGCAAATAATTGTCTCGTATGAATTACTTTTAATTATAGTTTACGTTTTTATTATTTACTTTAACGTTCAGTAATGGGATGAGAAATCGAGATATAATATCCGAAGGCTAATTTGGGATATTTTGGCATTTTTTTTTTTTGAAAATGTGTATATCATATTCCTTATCGTAGCCCAACTACATTGTTTTATATCTTATGTCTCTTTATGAGCTGTATTTTTTTATGTATCATTTAGACCATTAGTCCCCAGACCCTCAGGGGTCCACGGGAGACTCGACGAGGGTTTGGCGTGACAAAAAATTTATCTTCTTTCGATAGTGAAGAACCATAATGTTGGCTTGACTTCACCTATCAATGTAGGCACATAATATTTTAAGAAGCTCAGCGACTGTTACTTGTAAAAACTTCAATATTCCATATTCAGTACCTACAACGTGTCGAGACACGCCGCTGCCGCCTTCCGCAACGCTTGTTCAGACGTGCAAAGGGACGAAATACGACTTGTGGTGTTTGTACTTGCAGTCTTGCATGAACTTGTTTGAATCTTCACCAATACAAATGCCAAGGATAACCGTTACTCATTTGTTACCGGAATTTCCAAAAAAAAGTAAAGTGAATCGATGTTAGTGTTTGCCAGTGTCGGAAAAAGTATTTACTTACCTATTTGTTATACATACTTTTATTTTATATTGTAATAAGTATATTTGTTTAAAAATATTAAATTAAGAATTACGTCTTAAAAATTAAGTACTGAACAGAGTAATTATTAGATAGGTACTTAAAAGAACAGAAAACCGAGAAATGTTGAACTTTTTGTCCCTACTTTGTTAGTAACTTTTTTTACCTGACTGTGTGGTGGTTCACTAAAGAAGATATATTATGATTGACCTGCATGATTTTAAATATTTCAGGTTCCTAATGCTAAATGAGAAATATATTTTCATAAATTGTACGCGTATTTACGTATCCGTAATGTGCATCAAAGTAATAAATAAATATTAAAAATCGTGGAGTTTTGTTTTCAAAATATATTTATGAAAATATGTTACATTAAAATCGGTTCAGCCGTATAACTCTATTATGAATTAGAATCCATAAAAGAGTTTTATGAAGCGATTTATTGCTTTTAATAATTAGAATCAGTTTTCCGTCGGTACTTTGTTTATTTCATTGCAATAATTAATTAGGTATTCTGTTAAAATAGCCATATCTTTGCACACTTAAATACTAAACTTTGTTTTAGTACTCATATGGTATTTAAATTTACAGATAGATAACTGATACGAAACATAGCTGAATCTAAGAAGAAATGTCGACAGTATAGTGTTGATTATTTAAAATTTCTTTTTCTTTCATTAAAGGCAGACAAGTGATTGCCCATATGCATTAAATGCAACAAAGTTTTGGCCAATGACTATGAAACCATCGAGGATCGAAGATCATCTAAGATCCTGATAAAATAGGTAAAGATTTGAAAATATTTTCAAGCATTGAAGGAAAAATATAAAAAGAGTCCCACCGTGCACAGTATGTTCGCTTTAACATCTGAAAGTAACTTCTGATCGATCTTACAATATCTCGTTACTTATAGCGAATTCTGGAAAATCGCACACGATTGGAGAACAGTTAATTTTACCCGCTGTTGAAGAGGTTTTATAAACTGTTCTGAACAAATCTTCATTTGACATACTCAAAAGAATTCCTTTGAATAACAAGACTGTACAAAGACATATTGATATTGAAAGTTTCTTGTATAATTATCTGCAAACAACTCATTTTTCTATTCAACTGGACAAAAGAACTTTACCTGGTAATGAAGCATTATTATTGTAAAACTTTGGAGACGGACACTAAAGGTGAATCAATATTTAATATCCTAAGTGTTTTTTTAAGGAAAAATCGATTCCTTAACGGAAACGTTATTTCGGTGGCAACAGATGGAGCTCCTACCATGGTCAGGCGATATCGAGAGTTTATAAGTCATCTTCAAAGAATTATACCAGAGGTAACTGCAATTCACTATGTCATCCATCGATAACACGTAGTAGCGAAAAATTTGAGTGATAGATTACACCAATCGCTTCAACTTGCAATTAATGCAGTTAACAAAATAAGAAGCAATGCGTTGAGTACGCGTTTATTTGCACAATTGTGCGATGAAAATGATGAAGACTTCCAACCATTGCTCTTACATACTGTACGATGGTAATAATAATAATGATTCATTTATTCATTCAAGATAATTGTGTACAACGGTCTGAGACCCGATCTCTCGAACTAGGTGAAACTCCTGTATAGCGAGAGATAGTGCCCTTCTTAGCATTTCATTTGAGAATATACTTAAGTGGTAAAAACTAGTATAATAAAATAATTGCAATAGGCATAACATTTTTTTTAAAACACGTGATCGTGATGCACACGCACACATACTTGCGTATGTGTATGCGTATGTGTGCGTGTGGGTGTGTGTAGGTGTGCGCCTGTGTGTGAGGGTATGTATGGGATATGACATGTCATAATATTAATGTGAGGCATTTGATTTTATTGTTTTGGGATTAATTCGGATTTCCACTTACGTAACCACTCGAAGTTTTTAGTTTCTTGGTACTTTAGTGTGTGAAGACACTTAATTAGTGCTATTTTACATTCGCCTAGGGTCAATCAGCCTCAATTAAATTAAAATTTATGAAGCAAAATAATAATTTTCAAACTTGTCACAGGTACAATGCCTTGATGAGGATATTCAGACATACGTTCAACATTTAATTGCCTTGCATAATGACTTCAAAATCAGAATGAAGATATTCTGACGATGGAAATACCACCATGGATCATAACTTGTCGAAAAAAGTTTAGTGTCGTTACAAACCTTTTGACAAAAAAAAAGGAGCTGATTGAATATTACGGAACGGGGCGATTTGCGGTTATTCCTAACAAAACTGAAGAAAAATATTATTAATTTGCTGTCAATTCATCAAGTACATCCCTCCTATTAAAATTATGACTATTTTGTGATTGTCATTGTAGAAGTTACGTTACGTTATTAATGTTTAATTTTAATTATATTACGACTGTTATCATATTACAATGTAATATAATACCTAACAAAAATAATTAATAGTGTAATAATTACATATTTGAATAATA